CGCCTTTAAAGTTGTCCAAATGAAGTTCTAAGCAATGCATATTACTAATCAAAAATTAAGTTTTGATATATTTATGGTAGGATATTTACAAAATATCTTCATGGAACTAGGGTTGGGCGATGTCTACCAAATTGGCATCGGACGATGTCAACATTGAAACATCGTGATGGACGATGACATCGGGGGGGCGGGGCAGGGTTAGGGGTGTGTCCGAAGCGTGAAACAAATAACGCGTTATACGGAGCCACTAAAAGGTTAGCCGCTTGCTAGCGGTAGTCTGTTGCATTACAGTACATGAAAGTTCACTTACCACATACACAGAGTAAGGAGAAATGTCTGATAGGACGATGGCGAATGATTTGTATGACAAACATCTAATATTGTCAAATGTGTGGTAGGTACTGCTGCTCCGTAGTATAGAGTCCTTGTGATCGCAAATCTCAAAAGTGAAAGTGAAAGTAAAATGAGAGCGCGCAATCGAAACGGTTTCAATAGTGGCTCCCTGATGCCCACAATTTATATACAGTCGCCTATACCTACCCAACGATATAACTGCGAGAAAAAATATTGAAATATTTTTTTATCCTCCCATCTCGTAGGCTATTTATTATAATAATAATAATTCATTACATTTATATAGCACTTTTCTAGGCACTCAAAGCGCTTTACATTGTCAGGGGGTATCTCCTCATCCACCACCAGTGTGCAGCATCCACCTGGATGATGCGACGGCAGCCATAGTGTGCCAGAACGCCCACCACACACCAGCTTATTGGTGGAGAGGAGACAGAGTGATGAAGCCAATCAGTAGATATGGGGATGGTTAGGAGGCCATGATGGTCAGAGGCCAATGTCAGCTTAACATCGTGATGTCTGTCAGCCATCGGTGATGGACGATGGCATCGTCTATCTGCCCAACCCTACATGGAACATGATCTTTACTTAATATCCTAATGATTTTTGGCATAAAAGAAAAATCGATAATTTTGACTCATACAATGTTTTTTTGGCTATTGCTAAAAATATACCCCAGCGACTTAAGACTGGTTTTGTGGTCCAGGGTCACATATGATTTGTCACATATGTCGCGTTGTACAGTATATTGAGACAGAGGTGGCAGAATGCATACACGCATTAATTTAGTGAAGTTTAAAAGAGACTGGTTAGACAAACAGTTTTGCCGAATGAAAATTTGCACCTTAAATTCAATAAGTCGTGTGATCACTAAACGTTTAACAGCACTGGTTGCCTACTCCAAAAAACATGAAAAGCACTCTGCTTGTCTGATACATTTATTTTGAGAAATTCCCAACTTTATATGGGGCAACAGTCTGGAAACAAATATTTTTCATACTCTGTTTTCTTTTTTCCATACTTATCCAGACCTGGATATTACTAAAATTAAATTCCATACTGCGTAGGAACCCTGAAAAGACATTAGCGCGTTAAGATATGTGTGTTCACTTACATCCCAGTACGATGACCTTACGGCGAGTATCCTCACTCAAAAAATGTTTCACCAGATTGTAAGCCACAGGAAACAGTTTGGGTGCTGCAACAGAAACAGTCTTGAGATTCTGATTTCACAAGCGGTATATCATAGGGACATGCACAATATGTATTGCTTACTAAATAACTCCTAAGTGTGCAAATATACCATATTAATAACTGACAAAGTTTGGAAGATACTACTGACCTTTAATGACAAATAACCTCTTGAGTCCCTCTGGATAGTTATCTTCAAACATAGTGAGAACCTGTGAAAGAACATTAAAGACATAAATGAGTCTAATGCAACTGAAAGAACCAAACAATATATTAAAAATCAAAAAACACACCTCTCCATAAGTCTCTATAGCAGGCTTATATAAGTGCTTCATTCCCAGACCTTCACAGTCATAGACCATAGTAATTGCCTCAATGTTCCTACCCAACTGGGAGGGAAGAAAGAGAAAGCAGACAGACATAAACTATTAAATACACACATAAAGCCATGATATGATTCATCATAACCTCCTCACTATTCCTCAGCACTTTTCACAGCCGCACACATACCCGTTCGCTCTGTAAGTCACACTCTTTCTGCAGAATCTCACAGTCTCTGACTTTAGACTTGATTAAGTCCTGCTTGGACGCCGAATGCATCAGACCCTTAGGGTCCAAAGGTCCGATGACATCATACCAGACGGGGCTCCCTTCACGGTCATGGCCACACATGCCACCAGACAGATACTTGTCTATTACCTGAGCAGTGAGCACAAAAATCAATACAAGTGTAAATCATAAAATTAAACTGGGACACATCATGGAAAACAGGAGAGCTTGATGTACTGTATATACACTCAACATCAGCATTGCAAAAAACCTTTCCCACTTTATGCAAAATATTTACTGAAACTAACAAAAAAGTTTCATTAAAGGGGTCATCGACATGCACTTCCGACATCTGAGCTGCTGAAGACACAGTGGATTACATTTGTTTCTGAAGGGAATGCGCCCCCCGATCTACCTAAATGCGTCTACCTTCGCGCGAATCATTCGTGATCCAGCTTCACCTCTAGAAGAAGTGAGTGTAAGGTTTTTTTAATTAATCTTTGCAAAATCGCCTTTGCTAATAACGTGCTAGTTAGCAAGTTTCACGATGAATGCTGCTAAAGTTTACGTCTCTCAGAGAGCGGCTCGGAAGAGAGGGGCGGGGCGAGCAGAGCTCATTTGCATTTAAAGCGGCATGCAAGAAAAGAGCTTGCTCTGAAAAGAGCTGTTTTTGACGGGCTAAAAACAGTGTTTTACACTACCATTGAGAAATTTTAACCAAACTAAGTTACAGACTTTTCATTAAGACCCTAAAGAATCATATCAACTTGTGGAAAATTGGCATCCGATGACCCCTTTAAGAAATGGCAGTGTTTATAATGAGCTTGAGTAGGTCAGCCAATCATAATAGAGGTCAAGGGACAGCGGCAAAAAACACCTGTTCATTTCTAGACACAGAAGACTAGAGTAATCGCTGATGAAATTCAGCTTTGCAATTACAGAAAAAAAATTAAAATGTAAACTATACTAAACAGAATATCTTAAATAATTAATATATAATAATACAAATATTTTAAAGTGTAATACTATTTCACACTATTACTGTTTTTGACTGGTGAACATAAAAATCTTTTTACTAATTTTACTGATTCAAACTACTTTGAAGAGTAGTGTAACTGCTTTGAACAGTAATGTAAATATTAAAAAGTATAGATATGTTAGATATGAAATATATATGTTCTTTAATCATTAAACGAGTGTGTCATACCTCTGGCACCTGCCACTCTGTAGTGATGGTGTCAACTTTCAAGTGTTTCCGAAATTCCATGTGCTGTGCATGAAAAACAACACATGATTAAAAACATGCCTGTGTTTTTGCTCTAAAACTGTTAACATGATCAAGATTTAAACCTTCACCACAGCAAAGTTTGACAGCGTTATCAGTTCTGCCTGAACATAATTTGCCACCATGAGTCTCTGTGTATTAGATACTGCTGTGCTTTGACCTGAGGTTCAATGGATACTGGTAACAGAGTTCAGAGATACAAGATGGCGAGAAAATGTCTGTAATAAAAAACCCATGAACTACACAAGCATCACTCACACAATGGGAAAGCAAACAGCACTTTGAACACCCAATAGCACAGAATGATCATGGTGTAATCGCCCATGAGCTGTGATTAGGCACTAACGTGACTCATTTGCACCACAATCTGTTCAAAGATGCTGCATGAATACTTTTGTTATTATTACGGATTAATAATATAATTGTAAGCCCAGAAAAAAACATATTGCCAGTCAAGTTTGCAATAATTCATTTTTTTGAACAAAACTAAAAAGAATTAAGTCTCTTATGCACACCAAGGCTGCATTTATTTGACCTAAAATATAGTAAAAACAGTGTTTTCCATTTTACATTCAGCATCATTACTCCAGTCTTCAGTGTCACATGAACCTTCAGAAATCATTCCAATATGATGATTTGCTGCTCAAGAAAAAATTAAAACAGATTTTTGTGGAAACCATTATACACGTTTTTCCAGGACAGTTTCATTAATACAAAATTTTAAATAACAGCATTTATTTGAAATATAAATCTTTTGTAACATTTTTTACAGTCATTACTTTTGGTTAATGTGATAATGTGTCCTTGCTAAACAAAATGAATATATTTATTATTATTATATAATGTTTCTGCAGCAAATCAGCATATTAGAATGATTTCTGAAGGATCATGTGACACTGAAGACTGGAGTAATGATGCTGAAAATTCAGCTTTCCCACCAGAGGAATGAATTACATTTTAAAACAATTATTTTAAACTGTAATACTATTTCACAATACTGCTTTTTTTACTGTATTTATGATCAAAATAAATGCAGCCTTGTTGAGATTAAGAGAAATATTTTGTTGTTTTTTGAGCTTTATCAACACACAGCAATAAACCGACGCTGTGAGTGATGAACTAATTCAGCGATTCTCCCTTTGAAATTCAACAGGGCCTAATATTAGTGAGATCATATTACATAGTGTTATTCAACATGTTGTTTGAAGCCTTTGGGTAGCGTACACCAAACGCTGACATAAAGCCTGGTATCGTGAAGGTCAGTCACACCCAAATTCATCACACTGTATGAATCCAGAGATTTACAGAAATGTTCTTCTTTCAGTGCAGTTTGACACAGTCTGTGCCCAAAGGTTAAAGAATTACACATTATTCATTATTGTGTAAATAGGATTATTCAGTATTGAGTAAATGTGAGGTTTAAATTACAGAACTAGTGATACCAAGAGTTTGTTTATACACTGAATTTACAGCAATGTTAAATATGATGATATATATTACCGTTCAAAAGTTTGGGGTCAGCAAGACTTTATTAAATAAATGTATATAGTTTTAAAATATATTTATTCAGCAAGGACGCATTCAATTGATCAGAAGTGACAGTAAGGACATTTATAATGTCACAAAAGTTTTCTATTTCAAACAAATGCTATTCTTTTGGACTTTTGATTCATCAAATAATCCTGAAAAAAATCACTTTCACACTTCATTTAGCAGCACAATTATATTGAACTAATAATAAAAAAAATGTCCGCTGAAAATTCAGCTTTGCATCACAGAAAAAAAATATTAAAATTGTTTATATACTGTATATATATATATATATATATATATATATATACAGTATATATATATATATATATATTTCTTTTTA